GAACCACCTCTTAATTGCTTTTATTCCCAGGTTCACCCAGAACTCGGGTGGTAGTACCTGTTAGAGTCCCATCTATGGGCAATTAGTTAACCCCGAAACTGCAGTCAAAACACCACGAAAGAATAAAAATAGATTTTTATAGTAAAAATACCATCAATACATATTTTTTTAAAAATATTACCAGCAATATATTTTTGTAAAAGAAATTACTGCTCCCAAGAAAATTAAATTTCAGTATTATATGACCCATAAAAAGTTGATATGCCGCTAAACAAATAAACAATTTTCACGGGTATTTGTATGAAAGTAAATGCAACGAACTCAACTGGAAATTGAATACTGCTGGCTGATTACTCTTTCGGTGCCACTAACTATTATACTGCCTGCACATCTATTATCAAAATGCTTAATTATGCATTAATTAAATGACACCCTTATATGGATAAGAGAGTAAATTAACATTGGGTAGTGGCGTGGTTTTTTCAATGAGGGAAACGAAAATCGTTACTTACGACTTCAAGTCGAGACAGTCGCCATATTTGCTAAGAAAACGGTAACTATCTTTGCTTCCTTTTTTATGGAAGAACGAGGAAGCTGGTGTACCGGAAGTTGTTTGTGATTGGACAATAAAGGCCTGAGATATCACAGTGAGTTATGAGTGCCTTACACTATGAGAAGAGAGTACACAAGTCGATATATCTGATCAGTATCAACTGGGTTACCATGATCTTGTAAAACGCGAAACCCCTAATGTTCCTAAAACCATCATTGATAAAACCTGCCAGAGCTTCGAACAGATTTGTTTCACGAAATGTGTATGTATCTGTGTGTTTTCAAACAAGTTTTTACTAAAATTAATCTGTTTAATAATTTTGATTTTTGATATTCGAGGTGGAATTGTCAATTTTTTTTTTTTAGTTGGCCACTGGCCACTCGTATTCAAAGATACCAGTCTACTACGGGGGCTAGCCAATCCCTGTTGCAGACGCTTGCTCAGGCGCATTTGTGTTTATTCAACACCCACAGAGCCCACCTGTGGTTTATACTGCAACTATGCTTAGTTGCAGTTTCTTGGGAAAAGCGTGTTATCTAGCGTGATCAACAATTTGAACAAGGACAGCACACTCAAGCCCTAAGCCACGATGACTTGTGACTTCGTGTTAGCAAGGATTCCATCTTCCCATTTTCACTCACAAGGCTTGGTATCGTTTTCATGAATTTTCCAAATGTGCCGTATGCTGGGATCGACCCCTTCCAGTCGGATAACATCAGAAAGTCTCCTTCCTGACAAATCGACCATGGTGAGATTCGAACCCGGAAGAATGCGAACGTTCTAACCACTCGGGCACGTGCCCATATGCTTTGACATATTCAAAGTATTCTTCACATCTTGATTGCTATAGATGTTCCTATAAGCACAAGGTTCCGGCCAAGCACCATCTGACCATATTCAGGTGGCCATTTTGTTATCTGTAATTCCATTACTTGTTCGTTCTTAATAAAAGCGGCCATATTAATCCTCTACTTGATACAGAGATTGAAGTCACGACCAATAGATGGCAGTAACTATTTTTTTTTACACAAGTTGCTGATAACATATTTATTCTAGATGTTATCAAAGGTGTGACGTTTGGAAAAGTAACGTTAAAATAAATCCACCACTGAATTCTTTGAAACGATGATATAGAGAATATAGGCGGCGTTTAATCAAATGTTTCAGATAGGTGAGACCACGTTTGAGACTTAGGAGATATTAAAGTCTTTGAGGATGGTAATTCCGTGGATGTTTAGGTTCTACTACATATAGGTAGTGGAACTTTTGAAAGTGCACGGAAAACCATAACACGGGTTGATCCAAGCCTTGCGGGTGAAATTGGGTAGACGGTACCCTTGCGAGCCTTCGGTGATTGTGCTAGCACAAAGTCACAAGTTATCCTGACTGAGGATTTGAAGATTGTTGATCACGCTAGATAACGTGCTCTCTCCCAGAAACTGCAACTAACGTCCGCTCAGCAGAGCTGCAGTAGAAACGACATGTGGGTCATGTGGATGTTGAACTAGCACAAATGTGGCTAAGCAGGCGTCTGCAATGGGGATTATCTAGCCACCCTAGTTGTCTCGCATCCTCGGATTCGAGTGGCTGCGCCAGTTACCTTATTTACTACACACACACACAAACACAAACACATGTATGTGAATATATATATATATATATATATATATATATATATATATATATAAAGAA